GTGGGGTGGGGGAAGGGAAGGGGGTAACTTGCCTTTCACGAAGGTCAGCGCGTGATTGGAGAAGTCTCAGATTCGGCCGAGCTTCGAACCTTTTTTTGAGAGATTTACGGCATAGTTCTTGCTTTCTTAGACTGATTCTGGCCCTGAGTAATTTGCCTTCTCTGGATTGTTATTTCCAGTATTCGCTTTAACTCCGAATTGCCCCATCTCCCCACATCTCGACGGACATGACGACAAAAATTAAATATCATGCCAGCCTGCTTTTCCCTCTAAGAAAATTTTAAAAAAAAATCAATTTTTAATTTTTTTTGAAAAAAAACCGTTCTTCCTGATTTGCCTGCCAGTTTTCCCCTCTAAAAAAAATTTAAAAAAAAAAATCAATTTTTAATTTTTTTGTAAAAAAACCCTGTTCTTTCTAATTTCAGTCGCTGCCAACAGGAGCGGCCGCAGAAGTGGTAGGTTCGAAAACTGGTGGTGGTTTTGCGGCTTTTTCTGGTGCTGGGCATCGTCTGGATGGTAAGTCAAAAGCGTCGTCATCATCACTGGCCGAAATGGACACAACCGAGCGTTCTCTTCCAGCGCTAACTGTTAATACGAATTATACACCGGGCAACTTAAACTTCGTGAGGTGAATTTTAATTATCAGGGATTTTGTTTTTTCTATTTTTGGCGTTTTTGGAAAATCGCTGAAAGTGGCACAAGAACTTTATGCGTTTCTGCATAAGCTTAAAGAAGTCTACTGTATCTGGCAACCCGAGGAATTTTGCTTTGTAACCACATGGGTTTGAGGAAGGAGAGGGGGGGGAGGAGGGAGGGAGGGGCAGGGCAGAGGAAGGGAGAGGGGAAAGGAGTTGAAGTCAGGGGTAAATTTTTTGCTTATAGACAGAGTTAAAAGCTTAAAATTAGCGTTCAGGCTCTTTTTTTTGCTTTTATCTTCTTTGTTTTGAGCCTCTCATCCAGGTGATTCCACATAGGCTTTCAAACATATCCTTCTAGTCTACTCCATGTGTTTTTATTTTAATATTAGATGGGTAGCATTCAAAAATTCACTTGTCCATCTGTTGTCTTTCATTCTTTTCGTACGCACAGCCTAAATCTTCCAGGCATATACATTGCCTTGATAATTTTGCTCACGCCAGACCTGAGCGCTGCTTCCCGTTTATATGGCGGCGCAAAAAAAACTGAGCGTTTGGTTAAACAATTAGAAAGTGATGTTATGTCAACGATTTCAGTGTTATACAAAAACACATGTGCTTGGGGATTTGAAAACTTGTTCATTAAAATTTGGAAAACCGTACAGTTTCAGAGCTTTATAATAATAGTTATTATTGCAACATAAAACAAATCTCCGGCCAAAAGTCCAGTGGTTTCCCACATTTGCTTTCTGTGAGAGACGGAGGCACGCGGAAATTAGCCTTAACAGCAATAATACGTCGTCTTATGCACGTCCTAGTTATGCACCCAGTACCGGTCCAGCCCCTACATTTCCAAATTCCATCTGCCCACAGGGCCCAAACGGTCCATGGGGTATTACTGATAACAGATTGATAAACCGGATATTTTTAGCCTGAAAATTTAATTCAACTTGCTGGCATCTACCATGCGTTGTTTCACGCCTTGTTGAATCACCGTCAATATTTTTTTTTTTTTTTTTTTCAATAATTTCGCGATTTGGCCAACGATTATTGATTTTAGATACGACTATAAATGTCGTGCATTCATGGAGAAACATTTGGCTGATGCATCAAAATCGAAAAAAACCGCTGGTACAGTACCGTTCGAAGGCGGTGGCCATGCACTGCGTGCAACACGTCGTTGATCAACTAGTAGTATTTGCAACGTGAATTCACTCACCTTTCTTCAGCCTGATTTTAGTCTCTGTAAAATAACACTATTTGTTATCGCTCTTAATATTCTTTTTTTTTTTTCCCCCTCCAACTAACCGAGAATCTGAAGTGCCTTCAGCTTATTTCTCAAGCATCCTTTAGAAAAGTTATGGTGCAACTTGCTGACACTTACTATGCGTCATTCCATGGCTTGACTTGAATAACCGTTATGCTTTTTTACTGATCAAATGCTTTAGTAGCTGATGGCAAATTTTTGATTTTTTTCTATCTTTACCTCTTTATGGGAGAATGGAATATGGACTTTTTAATTTCGATATTACCCAGTTAGCAGTATCTGTTGTTTATGATAAATGTTTGCTTCTGTTTTTGTTGCATCAGTGCATCTGGGAGAATATGAAAGATACGAAATGTTGGAAATTCAAGAAAAAAGGTAGTCCAGCTATCGTGGACGGAGCCCTCTTTTGTAAAGAGGTAGGGATCGAACCACTCGTCTTCACATCCGGTTGCGACATGCTAAACCACTTCGCCACCTGCAATTATGCGCAAGGATCAGATTGGGAGCACATTTACTGTGTATCTGCCTTTGAAACAACAAAAATCTTATCTGCTTTCCGGTAGATAATTTATACTTTTGTGGCGTCTTCTTGGCCGGCTTTTCGCGACTTCTTCGAAACAGTCTTCTT